CACGACCACCCCGACCGCCACGACCACGACACCACGATGACCACGGCCACGACCACAGCCATGACCACCAGCACCAGCACCAGCACCAGCACCAGCACCAGCACCAGCACCAGCACCACCACGACCACCACGGGGTCCAAGATTCCTGAATATGTCTTGCCACAAAGTCCTCTAATCCCTGTCGGCTGTTAGACTCGGTTTGCGGCGAAGATAGAATTGCAGCAGCGCGCAAGGCTTTCAGCTGAGTAACAGGTGATTTATCAAGATACATTGTCGCTGCTGTGTGGTGCGAATCTCGGGCAAAGTAGGATTGACCACAAGACATTCCTCGAAACTTGGGGCTGGATTTGGCGCACTGGTATGCAGGCTGTTGAGTTCAGATCCAGGCGTCATAGGTGGCAGTGCCAGTTTGCTACTTGAGCAAAGGATGTGTAACTGTGAGGGCAGCACAGGAGAGCCGTCAAGATCCGTCAAGCTTTTGTTTCCAAAGGAGCTATTTTCCTCAATGTTCCTTACAACCATAACTCACAAGCGCTGTATACTGTACCCGGCCACCTGCAGCTGAGGCCGAGGAAGTTGGTACTTGTACGGGAGAAAACGCTACGTATATCCAAAGACTTCACGCGTTTCCCGAATGAATCAATTGTAGGCTTAGGAATTCATGCATGGTGAAAAGTCTGCCGTGCCAGATGTGTGACTCATGAGAGTACTCGACTTATGCACAGTTTGTGCAAGCATTGACACATGTTCGGTGAAGCTGTGCTTTCTGTCTGATGTGAGATAACTCCGCCACTGCATGGCAAAGTGGTAAAGGCAAGCGACACCAAGCGACAAACATGAATTGAGAAAGTTCAAAGACTGTATGCGGCAGACCACGTTTTTACATTAAAATGCACGGACCATCCTGGACCCCTGCCCACAAGGAGGAGCCTGTTTTCTGATCAGTCCGGTGCTTCCTTTCCAGCTGTTTGGAAAGGATCGATGACTCAACATGCTCATTGTCTTCAAGCCGCCAACGCTTCAGCACAAGACTCAGCTTGCTCCACCAACGCGCTGTTGGTGCGACAGCTGTCAGGGCTGAATTTCTGATGCAATTGGCATGGACAATGACTGCAAAACGTCACAACTGCCACTTGCATCACTTGCAGGTTGGTCCGATGGAAGTTAAGTGTCAGCTCATCCAACTTCGTCGCCACCAGCAAAAAATGCTGGAGGCGTGGCGGGCTCTTGGACACTTTCAGCAGCTGCCAAAAACATACAAGGTTCATTTTTGAAGATCAGTGCATCATCATCTTTGTTGCTTCAAGAATCATATTATGGTGGGTTGCAAAACGCTGAGCCATCTCTCGGTAGGCGCTGCATCTTCGGGCCGAAGAGCTGCGCCGTCTCCGCTTGGAGGCAGCCAAGCTGAAGTCTGCCGCAACAGCTCTGCACCTTGGTTTTAAGCAATGTGCTGGGCTGGATTATTTCAAGCAATTGGGATAGTTTACGGGATAAGAATTGTTGCCAGGTGTTCTGATATGCAGTCCGATCGTAGGGTGGGGGCTTGGCGGTGCCATGAAGCCCAAGTCTGAGCAGCGGTGTATTAGCTCCATGATGGGTAGTATAGTATCTTGCTCGTCGGCAGACAACATGTCTTATCGTCAAAATGAGAGCAGCCCTTGAGGCGTACCATCTTGGCTGAGCCGCAAGCCAGGAGTGAGCATGGCGTTCTGGCAGATCAGACTTGGTCCAGAGCTCCAGAATATTCTGGGAACATCCGGTCCGTGCCGTTCTGATGTGGTGCAGCCTGAAGGTGAGCTGCATATAGCAGTGCAAGTGCGTGCGCCTACCTACCGGCCCTGCTAAAGCGTGAAAACTAGCTGGAAATGCTGCGACGTCTCGGATGACAGTCTGGTTGGTCCTGGGCACCCGAACAGCTTGCAGCTGCAGCTGCCGCAGCTAGGAAACATTCAAGAAGTGGCCCATGCATGGACAACGTTTGCGCCCAACGAGTGCTGCCCTGCGTGGGTCAACATGTGCTTCTTCAGAGCACTGATGATGTCCTGTTTCGCGTTTGAGCCACCGTCGCCTGAGAAGATGGAGCGATACGATCCTGCAAAGACAAGCCATCGAAAAGATTCGAAGAGGCCTTCTGCAACGTGCATGAAACAAAAGCATTATTGTTCAGTCAGTTCGTTGCAAAGCATGGGGTTTGTCGTTTGTCATTTGTAAGTGAGGCAATCACGAACAGGCGAGATAGTTTTTGGTCTCCCCTGGCTGGGAGCTGGAGCTTCAGAAGTGCGGAACTTTTCTGGGCTAATTCCTGTGCATCCCACTCTCCGAAGGCCCACGAAAGTCAAACCCGGGACTCGGAAACAAACTGATTCAGCACATCTCCACGAACGTGACGGAGTGTCGTCTTGCTGCACGCGCCCATTGATAAGAAGAAGCCGCCAAGGTGTCAGCATATCAGTCAAATTAGATGTTTGCAGGTTGGCGGAGTTCTGGTGGGCGTGAGCCTGAGGGCTTGTCATCTGCAGCTGTAGCTGTCAGAAGGGAAAAAGACAGATGCGGTTGCCGGCTCAATTTGAGCCTGTGATCATCGCTAGCAAAAAATGAAGGTGATGTCCAGGCAAAAATCGTTTTGGTCAGTTCAATGATCAGTTGAAACTCATGATTGCCGCCTGGATCACGTAGCCCAGCCACTTAGGAAAGGTCAGCGACTTGCCAACGTTTGCTGCTGTGAATAGTAGTTGATGTTCATCTAGACGACTGATGCGTTTTCTTAGCCATGAGGGCCAGCTCTATTCTGTCCCTTCTACGGTCCGTTTCTAGAGCTCTTTCAGGAAAGCTGAACTATCGCGAGGTACGAGTAGGTACGATGCCTTGAATTACGGAGATGTGCACGTATTCAGGTACCAGCTTGAAGCACAAATTCTAGTTTCAAGATTCTGCAGTATGCAAGCGTTCATTCAGGAAGTAAGAACTCCGCAGGAATTTGATGCACATGCGCGGTTGCAAGGAGGCATGTGAGGCAGTTTGAATGTAGTTGGATTTCTGCCCCATGTACTGCACACTTCGTTTGGTTAGCTGTAGGTAGCACTCTTCATTTGGGATGTTTCGAGATTCGACGTTGCAAGCAACCTCCCCGATGCTTCGCAAAGCAACGGTTGGAGAGGGGTCATGTGCAAGGTCCTTTCCAGTCCGGACACTCTCAGCAGCGGCGGCCTCAGAACAGACGGCAAAATCTACCATCGAGCAGGCTTTGCTGGAAATCGTGTGCCAGAATCGTGAGAGGTTGCGGCGCGTTGTCCGGGAGTCAGAGGCAAGGCTCTCTCGTTGGCTTGTGCATGAATGATGACATGTGCTGTGTTTTTAAACCGTAGAAGGTTGATTTCAAGATTGAAGTCCTGAATTCCGTGCACTTTGCCTCGCTTGTGGAGCAGGGAGACCAAGCACTGGAAAAGGGAATGATCCAAGCACAATGGGACAGTCTCCGGAGATAAGAGTGAAGAGTGCAGAACGTCGCTGGCAAACTCCGTTTCTAAGGCCTCAACCTACCCAGGAACTCAGTCGCTGCCTTGGTAGCCTTGTTGTCCCAAGATGTCCCAAGCGGGATTGCGTCTGCCTGCAAGCACCAGCGTTTCCGGTTGGCTAAGGTGATCCTGATGCAGCAGCCTCAGCTGCTCCTGAATCCACAGTTGGCTAGCGACGAAAAACTTCTGGAGTTTTACAAGCTCAGAAGAGCCCAGTACCACAGAATGTGAGCACTTTGCTGTCTTGCAACAGAGGCACCGACTCCTTTGGGTGTGCTTCCAGCCACGACCCAAGCAAAACTGTGTTGATTTAGTCGGCCGTGCCGTGTCTGGAGTTGCATACTGTTTAGAGATGTTTAGAGAGTTGCTGGTAGTTTGAATAATTGGCTGTTGCATGTATCTATCCGTCTGCACCCCGCATGCTGCTCTTGATTCTCGCACTAGGCTCCAGAATTCAGCGAAATGATGAAGAATTCAGTCGGGTTGGACTTGTGTGGGATACTGCGGGACCGCGTGCGCAGCTTGATGGATGTGTTCAAGACCCATGCAGGCTAACAATGATTAACGATCCTGGTAATCAGGGGTAGGGGTACAGCGGAGCGGAGCTGACAAGACCCGATGATCCTGAGCAATCAAGCCAGACCCCAAAATGACCAGAATCCTTGAGCTGATGAACGTTAAACTTCTGGAAGGGGGTAGATCTAAACGCCCCAGGCCTCCGGCTTGGGCGGGTTCTTGGCTTCACGCAATTATATTTTTAGGTGAAGGAATCCAATCAAAAGGTGGGAGGGGTGGCGGAGCCTTGAGCCCAGCAAACAATCACGCTAAACCTTCAAGACGACAAACAACTGAAAACGAGTCGACAGACGTCAAATTCCGGGGGCGGGAACAACTCCCTAGCATGGGGTCCTAAAGTTTCGGCTTCCTGCCTCGGCGGATTTCCGAAATTGGGTGAACTAGCCATTTAAGCGTGCAGCCGTAAACCAATCATGCAAACTTCCCCCGGATGGTTATGCGAAGTGTGAAAGCATGCTTTGCATCCCGGCAGGTTGTCGGACTGCCGGGAGTGCACCTGCCTGAGCTTTGACTGTTCCGTTTTGACTGAAGGGGGTGAAGCTCGTGCACCGCGGCAGCAACAGAACAGAGTACCGATCGATAAGTTCACGATGCATACATTATACGTCTCAAGAGGGGATGCAAGGCGGACCTCTTCCAAGGCAGCGAAGGCAAATGAGCGGCAAATGCACAGTCTAAGTTGATTGGCCTTTGCTCGAGGCACATAGCTCTCATGTTGGAAGAGTAGTGGTAAATCCGTAAGACATTCCTTTGTTAGTTGAAGGTACGTAGTAGGTGCAACTGCAAGTACAGTGCGCAAGTGCAAGGTTTTCGTAGCAGGCGCTGCAGCACAAACAGTGCCCTGCTCACCATGTTTTGTTGAGGCCGTTTGCATTTGCGTTGCGGCAGAAGCCTTGGAGCGTGGAGAGGAATTGGGCCTACCCACGCAGCTTCAGGCTCTGGAGTTGGGACTCCTTGGACTCTTTCCCTAAGCACAGTCCTTTAGGTTTGCACTACCTTGCACTCTTGGGCTTGCTTGCAAGAACCGGGCAAAGTAAGACAGAGGCGATCGCATACTTGAACTGGAACGCCGAGATCAAAGTACGAATCTGTCTCAGCAGAAGCAGCAGTACAAACAGATTCACGACATGAAGTTACTAAAGCAGCAAATACGAAGGCCTAGAATTGGCCGCCGATGTATGTCTTTGCTGTGTCAACAGTAGTACAAGAAACTGAGCTTGTGGTCTCGTTGGCGGAGACTTGTCAAGGTAGCACTAGAGTTCTGATAACTTCTTCGGGGTACATGGAGGTTCCAACAAAGCGCCTGCATGCACTACAACGCAACCCACCATAGAGAAAGCATGCAGCAGTGGAATCATGTTTTACTGATTCATGACCAGTCCTTCTGATGTTATCCAAGTCCGTACAAGATCGTGGAATCTTTGAAGGATCACAGTGGGAGTCTCTAAGCTTTGTGCAGGTTTTGTTTAAGTCAGAGCGCCGCGGTCTTCGGTGGTGTGAGCAAGCATTAAGAAGATGGCCCCCTTGTGGCGCAGGCAGGTGGCTGCAGTTCTACAGAACCAGGCCAGCCGGACTCTCAGCTGAACGATGCGGAAAGTCCTCGAGCCGTATATCCGCTGCTTTGTTGAAGTTAGTTGAGTTTGTGAGGCCTTGGGTTGGTTCCTGTGGAGTTGTGGGTGGAGCACATTCTGCCCTGGCGCCACGCCTCAGATCTCGAAAGTACTGAAATCTCGGCGGATGCCTCAGCATGCGCGTTGCCGATTTACAGTCTCCAAGGTGCCCAAGGTGGTGGCAGGGTGCTTGGTTAATCGGTGCCACGCGTCTGCTGCATGTCTTCAAGCTGTGCTGCCAGACTGCCTCATCGATGCAGAAACCTTTTGCATAGAAGAGTTGAAGCAGGATGGTTGATCCTTGTTGATCCTGCGAAGGTTTGATGTGCCTGGCAAGAGGGCACATGGGAAATCAGGCACACTGTGCTTGCCTTGGTCATTCGCAGCTATGGGATTTCAACTGTGGGTACTACTGCCTCTCGTCCAAGGGCCTTGCTGGCGGCAGCGAGCAGAAGCATGTCGAAGGCAAACGATACAGCCCTTGCGAGACATGACGCACAATTCACGTGGTATCCCGTCTCGCCCGGGTCAGCACAACGTGGTGCGCTGTGCTGCTCCGCCTCCGATTTCGCCGAGGGCCTTCGGACCTGTTCTGGGTTCGAGTCTTCTTTTTTTCCTCGGACTTCTCCAGGATCCATAGAGGTCTCGCTGTGAGAGCTTTACAAAGGACTGTATGCATAGTTGTAAATCGGTTGATGTGGCGCTTGCTATAGAGGCATTGAAATTGCTACCTGCGCCTTTGCCAATCCACTACGATTCGAAGTGGATGAGGTGTGTGTTTTACATTCATGTTCCACTGTAGCACGAGAGCTCGTGGAGGCCGTGCAAGGCATTCGAGCAATCTTGTCGCGATGATCGGGTTGTTGGTGTGGGGTACGCGAGACGTATGGCTGTGCGCCATAGCCGTGTTGTTTGCTTCGATGGTTGCATTGTGCTAGCTGATGTTAGCTGCCAGCAGAAATTTGCCTCGAGTGGTACATAGCCTTTTTTTCATAGTGAGGTGCAACAGACCGGCGAGATTCATCCGCAGCATCCTGACTGAATGTGCTGCATGAATCATGCTGCTCCCGTCGTGGTTGTTGGGGTCGTTGTCGTTGTTTGACTGTTGTGGTGGTCGTGGTTGTCGTTGTGGTTGTCGTTGTGGTTGTTGTTGTGGTTGTGGTGGTGGTGGTGGTGGTGGTCGTGGTCGTGGTCGTGGTCGTGGTCGTGGTCGTTGTGGTTGTTGTTGTGGTTGTTGTTATTGTTGTTGTTGTTGTTGTTGTTGTTGTTGCTGCTGTGGCTGTGGCTGTGGCTGTGGCTGTGGTTGTGGTGGTGGTCGTGGTCGTGGTCGTCGTCGTCGTCGTCGCCGGCGTCGTCGTCGTCGTCGTCGTCGTCGTCGTTGTCGCGGTTGTCGTCGTTGTCGTCAACGTTGTCGTCAACGTTGTCGTCAACGTTGTCGTCAACGTTGTCGTCATCGTGGTCGTCGTCGTGGTCCTCGTCGTCGTCATGGTCCTCGTCGTCGTGGTCCTCGTCGTCGTGGTCCTCGTCGTCGT